AGCGTAAGTTATTTTCTCTCTTACACCTTGAGTCTCGGAGAATTTCCACCTCTCCTACCCGAGCTTCATTTCCTTTACTGCGNNNNGAAAAGTATAGCAAGTCGTAATTGAGATGTAAACCATTAAGTAGGTACTAGTCATGAAATTGGTGGTGTTTCACCTGATAAGTGATTCACTCGATGTGTTACCTCCTCAGGCAAGTTAGTCTGTTCTTACTTTTTATCCTCCCCCCATGAGACCTTGGTTTAACCTTAGCTGAAGTGACGCTGACTCTTCCGTCCTTCCGGTTAGGTAACTTGCGAAATATACTTTGCTTTTGGGTAGGCTTGAAAATGCTTCAAATTGCCCATATACTGCCCATATACTTTCACCTTCCGCACCTCTACTGATATTGCCTTCAGTAATATTTATCGCCCTTTGGCATCAGACAGTTGAAGGCGAGGAAATGGAATGAAAGACGTTTTTTGCAGTCGACCCGGGATGGGATTGAAGGTGTTTGGTTCTAAGTCTCTTGACTCCATTTGACTATAAGCTGCAGCAAGTCTTTCTTTTTTTTTCTATGAACGGTTTTGCGATGAATGTGATGCTTTGTGCACACGTTTGACGGCTTTACGCGCCTGAACTCATTTCTCCGTTAAGCAACATGGACAAGGTCATCATCCAACTAATTTTGCCCTGTGATCTTCAACTCCTCTTATTTACTTACAGGAGGCGATTTAGCATTCGCTTGCTAGCTCCCAAAACCTCCGCCTTCACCTTGCGGTTTTCGGTGCTCTTCACAACCGAATCATTTACCGTTGGATGCGATTTCAACTATTTATTTGGTTGCTAAGGCTTTAATCCAATGGTTCCATCACAAAAATACCCTCCTCTATTGTTGTCTTTATGGGAAGAAATTCATTTGAGCGTTGACTAACTTTTGGTGCCCATAACCTATTTACCACTTCTCTTGTCATTTCACTGACTCAAACAGTATCACATTTGCAGTGTGTTTCACACCAAACGACACTGACCTTCACATTATACAGTGAATCTGGTCTCTGTAAGGTGTGCTGAAACGTTCCCATCGGGTTTGATGCAACCTTCTATTGTGCTAAAGTGCTACCATCAAGCACGGGACTCATTTTACCATGTCACTTAGGCCAGTTTAACTTACTACTTGCAGCCTACGGTTCACCCAATCAAGTTATGGTATCTAAGCAAAGGAATTCGGTCGTACTTACTGGTTCTTTTGTTTTTCTAAACCGTCCCCTTTTCCCTATTCCATCCCACACATTTCGTGTCTTATGGAGAGTGATGTGTAGTGCTCCTTCTTCAACTAATGTGTTTCTTGTTTGTTTTTGTTAAGTAGAACTGCGTGTTTTAGGTAAGTTATAGCACAACTTTTCCTAATCCTTTGTCTCATCTCGGCTATTTGTAGCAATGTCCGAACAAAGTCGATTCTGCCAGTCCACTTCATTGTATGAAGTGGCCTTGGCTTTTCAGCTTGCTTAGAAGGTTCTTTTTTGCTTGTCACGGCGAGTGGTCACTTCACTGTGCATGCAGGTGAAGTGTCGGTATAGGTAGTTTGGTACACTTTTTTATAGATTCCTTTACCTCCACTACCGTGAAATTGGCTATGTGAATTCTCATTTGAAAGTATTCTTGAATCAACTTTTTTTGTTTCAGGAAACGGGAGACAAGTGTATCGACAACCGGTATTTTCGCTATGCAGGCGTTGATGGAAGCAGCCACGGTGGCTGGAACCGCTCAACACCGATCGCATGCCGATCTGGCCAGGTGCATCTGGCTCCTTACCCTTGATGATGCTGGAGACTCCTTCAACAGTCTAATTGGAAGTACCACTAATGCCACAAACGCGTCTCCTTCACCTACAACTTCGGCCTCGGGTACTACCGTCACGGTCTCTGGTTCGCAGTCCCAACGCCTTGCTCGCACCTTTGAGGAGCGCGCTTCCCGTGTCCATCCGGACGCCTTCCTCCCTTGGTTACCCAGTCTCTCTGTCTGTCTCCTTCGTCCTGAAGGTCGTTACGTTGCTAGTGCACTACGCGGTATCGCACTGGCCTACCCAACTGCTCTAGCCTCTGTTCTACGTAGTCTTCAACACCAGCTCGCCATCGAAATGGATCGCGATCGTCGTATCGCTGCTGCGCTAACTGATCTCAGCCCTGACCAACGACGTCGATTGGACGAGGCATACTCTCATTGTATCGACCTTGCGCGTGAGGATGCCCGAAGACGGGCTGCTTCCTCAACTCCAGCAGGCTCAGCGGAGCATTCACAGCAACAACATCAGCATCAAAGTTCAATCAGCATGGGAGGGAGTGCAAAGCGAGCGAAAAAACGCGTAGTCGTAGTGATGCGAGGTGCTGAGGGTGAGAAACTAAGCGAAGCAACGAGTTCTCAGTCCTCTACTGAGGGCGTGAGGGAGAGTGTATCTGGAGAGGTTCAAGATATGGATATGGATGAAGATGATCCAGACTCATCGGCTCCCAATGTACCTGAAGATTCTCCTGGAGCCGAATTTGAGGATGCGGGTGGTGTGCGAACAGGCTATCTATCACCATCGGTGGGTGAGGGGCTACATCGAGTCAATCTCTTGTTTGCCCAATTGCGTCAGCGACATGCTGCTCGACTGTATGTGTCTGATCAGTTTGTGGAGTGCACTGCGGGCCGTTTGTTGCCCAGTTGGTCGGAAAATCTCCTCCATCATTTGCGCACAGCCCTAGATCATTTGCATAAGATCGCTTGGGCACAAGTGTCTCGTGCCGTTCGTCGTCCATCGGCTTCTCTCGGTCCATTTCAGGCGTCTCTTCATGGTCTCTCGTCGTCTCCATTGCCACCATGGATGGCGAAAGAGTTAATTGACATAGTAGCCTGCTGTGGACTACCGCCACCCATTACTGCTTCCACTGATGACCTTATAACAGACGATGCAGAAAATCGCTCTGGCTCTACTCTCATATTTGCAGATAATATTCAGCTAGCCTACACACTCCTAGCGAATGAAGCTGAGGCTGATCCATGGTTCAAACCCACCAAAGAATCGCTTATGCTGGCTATAAGTAATGTTGGGTCGAAGACATTGTTGGTGGGTTAAATATGCTACTTTTATTTTATTACATGAGTTGAGAATGCTTTAGTTTGTTGATTTTACATTATCTAGGAAGCCATTAGACTTCTTTCCAAAGAACTGATTCCACTCGTTGAACGTCGAGTTGACAACCTTCCGCACGTCTCCAATCTCTCCGATCGTGGCGCGGGTTATCTGATTGAGCTCATTTCTTCACTCAATGTTCAATCAATTCTAAACCCTTTCCCTAAGTGCGTCCAGACCTCTGCGACCACATCCACAAACACTGCACCAACCACGTCTGCAGCTACCCTCCTAGAGTTACCTGGTGAGGCAGTTCGCTTAAAGTTCATTTCTGCCTTGCAACAACAAACTCCTTACCAAGGAGCCTCAAGCAACCCCAATCCCATCGTTGCCGCCACGATTGCCAATAATGCAGCTGTTGAAGGTCATCAGCCTGGTCTACTCTACTTGGCGGATATTTTACCCACAGTGGTGCGTGTGCCCTCGGCTGGAGGCAGACGATTGGCACTGAGAGCAAATAATGGTCGTGTCTTTCACTATGACGTGCCTTGTCTACCCAGAGAGGCGCCAGCTGGCAGAGGTGTCTCTGTGTTTGCCGCTGATGCCACCGAGGCAAGCAGTCTGGCGCCGACTCTAGCAGCTTACGAAGGATGGCGTGAGATGTGGTGTCCACCGCACCTCTTCCAGGTTCTCAATACTATCGCCTCAAAGTCTCCAGAGACGGCAAAACGGAGGATCAGTCTGGTTACACCTCGGTGAGTTAAATTTCATCAACCTCAGAAGTTGAAGTGTCTGGTGAGTTTAATATACGTAGAACAATATCGAAAGTGCCTTGCCACACAAAGTCAGAGTCACTCTTAGGCGATGTTTGATTTTGGAGTCTGAAGGCACCTCTTTTCCATTACTATTTCGGGTAGACTTTTGACAGTTGTTTGCTAGCTAAGCTGTTTCTGCTGACAATAAGGGGCTGTCGTCTCCTTTTCATTTTTCCTTCTTTCCAGTACTTTGGACTTGGGTCCTCATGGAATGCGACTGATCCAAGCAGGTACCTCCATCCCTGCCACATGTGTCGTGACAGCAAATGCTGTTGCCTTTGGAAACCCTACAGTAACTGGTTTTGGAACTCTCTTGGCTCAGCAACTCCACGCACCCACCAGTGGTGCTGTATCCCAGTCCGTCTCCGCTTATCCCTCCTCCGTATCTGTGCCCATTACTGGCGCTAGTCTTTTGCCGCCCACGAAAAGTGATAGTGTTTGCTTCCCTCGTCCTAATGCCTTTTCACACGTGCGTGGACCGGAGAAGCAACAGTCTCTACCTCAAGTCTTTGCGGTAAGTACTGAAGCGAACTTTTGACAGCGTACAAAATGAGTTCCTTGCGTGTGTTCGGTCACCGGTTGTTTTAAAATCATTGCTTTTGAAATAACGAGATTTCTATCCTCTGCCCTTTTCTCATAGGCTCTGAATGCTAATTCCTCTGGCTACGCTGGAAGTCATGGAGCTGCCCTAGAAGTGGCAGGACAACCCACCAGTCTAGATTCCGGCTGCTATGCTGCCTGTGTCACATTGGCTAATATTGTCGATTCCGCAGTGCGTGGCACACAAGCCAACACACCTTCGCTCACCTCGAGGGCACTCGTTACTGAATTTTTCGGTCGCCTTAGTGCTCTTGCCACTGCTGATTTGAAATCTACCAATCTGAAAGCCATATTGTTGAAGATTTTTGAGGATATTCTCCAGCTCGTGCCTCGGGGCGCCCCTTTGAATTCACCAACGCACCTTGGCCTAGGTGTCCTCAGCGACGAGTACTACACCTCTGGAGGTGTGGTGAGGATGTGGGCTTTTCGGCGGATGGCGGATGCAGAGAGCTATTGGGTATTTAGACACGGAGTAGCCATTTCCTCCGGTGCCGTGGCTCTAATGGAGGCTCTCTTTCCTATGACTCCGTTGAACGCGACTGGGCTAGTTCTAGATCCTCGTGTTGGACGTATTGAGACCCGGGGTCTTAGATTTGATCTTCCCCCTACGCCAAACACTATAAACATTCCCTTACAGCAACAAAAAGACCTTCGCCCAGTGGATCTGGTTGCAAAAACATCTACCGCTCTAGCCAACATTTTCAGTTCAAATTTCGCTCCCCTTCGGCCACACGTGCCCCTGTCATCAGGACGAACATCAGTCCTTCAGCCAATTTCTCTTCCTCTTCGTCCGGCACCCCTGCGTCTGACACCCCAGTTGGCCGGTCTGATCTGCCTTCCTGGTGTTCCGGCTACTATTGGTCCATTTGCCGCTGCCATGGCAACGCTGAATCAGGCAGTGAGTCAGAGACGCGCAGCTGTTGTGGCGTGTCTGAGAGTCCTTCTGCGTGACGATTTCATTTTGTGGCACCGAGGAAGGCAGGCAGCAGTGCATGCAAGCCTCCTGGCCGATCTGCTGGCCATTGAGAATGATGAAACCTTGATGGCTACCGTAGGATCACCGATCAATGTACCGGATCTCTCAAATGACGCACTGATACATATGATAACCCTGTCAGTGGACGGGTTTAATTATAGAAATAGAGGTGAGTATGAAAAGAAACTATTTATAAGGGAGATGCATAATATTTTGGTAATATAAATACTTTTTTTTACAGTTCTCTCTTCGAGCGAAAAGGCATTAAGCGACATCATTAACAGTTCATGCTCCCCTGAAAATCTCTCATGTATGGATCCTTCATGGCTGCCGTGGTATTAAACTCTGCTGAGCATTTTGTAAAGCATTTTTTTAATATAGAGCAAACATTCTTGCTATTGTTTATCTGGGTGTGGGTGTTTTAGTATGTCACATGAGGTCAGGTGAATTACTTGGTCTTACTTAGTCACTGCGTAAGCTATAGTTCCGTGCCGTTGTCAGTCTGTCCATATTATTGCACTGGAGGTCACTATGGTGGCCTGAACTATCGTAAGGTAATGACAGGTCAGTGTACAAAGGGAGGGAGTATGGTTTCAGAAGGTTCTAGCGATTATAAGATTGTCATTCCATGAAAGAGAATACGTTATATCATTTGGGAAATTGTGGGGTCGCCCCATGTGTAAGTTGAACATGGGTGATGCGCGGACTGCAACAGGCCTTTTATATTTGAACATATTGGGACGGCAAAAGGGTGTTGTTGCAGTATGATTAGTAGATCAACCAACCGATTCCCTGCAGCTACAACAACAGGTACTCTGATAGCGCCTTTGATGAGTGGGGTATGCAGCGCTGTCAGACTTCTCACTACGTAAAGGAAGGCATTGAGTTGGGCCTGAGTGCATGCTTTCCAGGAGAACAAGAAAGGCAGTAACATTGGCCTAGGGAAAGGTCGGCACGAGCACAGGGGCAAGACGAATGACAGAGTGACCGACAGGCGCCAGATGGATACATAAAAAAGGTGTTGTAATGCTTTGTTTACGTGACTACCTGACGTTTGGCGGTCACATTAGAATTTGTTTGGCCCCTTTGCACGTGGGCTGACCTTAGGGCCACGTTTAGGCCCCATTTGCACTGTTGTCTTCAAATACATGTATTCAGCCTCATGCCTTCTCCCAATCTATGGGAAGCCTCGGGACACTACAGGCTAAAATATCGTGCTTATGTGGCCACCACACGTTTGGTGGTCACTTCAAGATTTTTGGGATCCTTGCAATCAGCTTCACTTGCTTTCTTCTTCTGCCCGTTGAGAAGCCTCAGGATGCTACAAAGATTGATCTTTAATGATTGTTGATGGCCTCAGAGCCTTTTACATACTACTTGGAGGGCTATTATTCATCTCTTGTGTATCAAGGAAAGCTATGGAAATAGGATAAAAATTAAACGTTGCGAAAAACAAATAACGATACTTTAGAGCGAAAAAGTGACTGGTTTAAATTTCACTGCGGGTGCTATTACGTTAAAACGGTGCTCACTACACTAGGACCAGACTGAATAACTTTGTGATTTTAAATGCAAAACCATTAATTTAAAAGTCTATTTTATGTTTACCTGCATGTGCACATAATTACGGCATGTGAGTGCACCATTTTACTTTTCTGACCATAAAAATATGTAAAACAGCGTTTGTTTTAATGCGTTACACATAGGGTATTACTCGATTTGATTGTCTGCTGATGAATCCGTACGGTCAGTTTTTCGGCGTTCCTCAACAGTACTATGGAGCCATCCCATCAAATTACCAATCCTTTCTGTCAACTGGCTTGGTTGGGTATGCGCCTGTCGCCGCCCCACCGCCGTCTGTGCCTGTGACACAACCTGCTACCACACAAGCTTCAACAACCGAGGCCTCCGTTACCCAGGTGGTCGTCACCCAAGAGAAGACCCCCGTTACTACGGTATTTGTGGGAAATATACCGGAACGAGCGCCGGACTCTCTTGTAAAGTCGCTTTTGATGGTAGGGCTGTTGCTTGTTTTTACGCTATAGCGTTGCGGTAATATCCTTAGTTGGAAAAGAGTTCAGGGGGCTTCTGGAAAATTACAAGCGTTTGGTTTTTGTGAGTATCAAGATCCTGAATCTACGATGAGATGTGTTAGGCTTTTAAACGGTTTCGAAATACTTGAGAAAAAGTTGATGGTAAGCTTTTGCTTTCGCCACTACTAGTTTCAAGGTTAAAGTGGATCCTAAAACTGAGGATCTTCTGAATGAATACCGGAAGAAGAAAAGGAAGGAGGGTGAAGATGGCAATCTAGGCAGCACTGAAGCTGAGGTGGATGATGAAACCAAAAAGGATGATGATGTCGTAAAAACCGCCTTGCAGAATATTTTACAGGAAGCTGTTGATACATATCAACTCGGTCATGGTAAACATTTGCCTCTATCATGGTAATTTTCTTAGAGTCGCCAAATAGAAACGAATACTTGGAAGGTCCTAGGCATTTGGTAAGTACTTTTTCCCTGTGCTCTCCTTTGTTAGTTTTATGTTATCTCTGTTTCTTTTTTCAGACTTTGGATGATATGGATATAGACGGAGAGCGTAAGGATTTAATCAATAAGGAAATTGAGACGTTTCGGCGTCGCAATGAGGTAAGACTATCACACTGTACTAGCGTCTCAAGCTCTCATATATTTGTTTGTTAACGTTCCTGATATCATCGAACAAAATATGTTAAAGTGGTCAATTGGCTTTTTCCGGTGAGCCGAGATTCATGTAAGCCCTCGTTTTACGCTGTTACGAAAAAAGCAGAAATCCATTGGATTTAATACTAGGTCAGCACAGGACGACTAGCACAAGGCTGGTGAGTGTATTTTGTACTCTTTAAGGGAATAAGTAGTTTAAAATCAATGGAACCCGTCACGTGAGTAAATTCAAACCTCCTTTCAGACCGTCATGATTGCAGTCGAAATCAACCGTTTGTGCTTTTAACACGGCTCGGTGAGTTCTTAAATGAAGCCTTATTATTATTGAGGCACCCTATCGGGCGATTGCTGTCGGGGGTTGTTTGTTTTAAGATGTCATCGTTCAACTCGTTTATCGAAGTAATGTCTCCATTTTGTCAAACAGCCCTTCTTTACCTGTATCAATTCCATTGATCCTTTACTTCTTGGTGGAGTAGAAGGAGGCTCCTTCTGAAGAGCGGGGCAAGCGTTCAAGAGAACTCGACTACTACACCTCTCGTTACTCCTCGCGCAATCTCTCGAGATCCGATCGAGATTCGGAAAGGGGCAGTCGCTATTCACGCTCTCGATCACGATCCAGGGAACCGCCAAAAAAGCGTCCACGCGGGGGTATTACCAGTTCCACTTTGATTTCTGAAAAACACTATCGGTCGAGTCAGATTGATGAGGAAGAAGAGGCGATTAAGAAAAGACTCGAAAGGAAACTTAAGGAGAAGGAGGAGTCCTACCAGAATGTATATTTAAGCTCATTTTCTAAAATGACTTAACGGTTAAGCATTAGGTAGCTAATTTTTTTTCTGTTATTATAGCGACTTCGACAATGGGAATGTCGTGAGCGTAAAAAGCATGCTGAGTATGAGCGGGAGAAAGAGCGCGAAAAGAAGAAACAGGAAGAAATTCGAGCAGAAGCGAAAAACTTATTGGATTTCTTTATTACATATGACGATGACGTGGAGGATTCCAAGTTCTATAAGTGCGTGCTTGTTTTTGTTATTTCCTACCTCACTTTCTCATTCATTCTTATCCCTCCTGCCTATCATGCCTGCAGAGGGAGTGCCTTTCAACGGCGACTTACCGATCGTGAAATTGAAGAGACAGCCGATGAAAGGGATCGGCAAAAGGAATTGGAGGTTTTTGAATCATCTAGTCGCAAGCTGATTGAGGAGGCAGATCCGAACGCAGAGTCGCTCATTTTACAAATGGAACAAGCAATGCAAGAACATCTGCAAAAACGTCTCAATCTCAACGCTCAGACTCCCATTGATCAAACGAGATCAAGATCTAGTTCGAAGTCTAGGAATGTGTCTCCTGCGCCACAGTCCGTGGCGGGTTTCGTTGAGGCGCCCATGGTACGTCGTAGACGATGTTTTCTCTAAAACATCATATTTCTCCGTTTAATGCTAGTGTGTTTGTAGGTTATTTCTGCTGGCTTTAAACCAGTTTCTCCTGACGATGTTTCGCGAACTAGTGATAATGCCACACCTAAGGATGTATCCGGTTCAGAGCCATCTCGAAAGGATTCAAGCACTTTTCTGTTCTCAATGTCTTCGAGTAAGTTTTATCTTTTCCTTTTGTAAAGTAGTCAAAAGGTATCGGTTATTTGTTGCATTTTTGCACTTTTATTAATTGTAGAGTCTACAGAAAATGTGCTTAAGCCGGCCGCAGCGTTCGCTGACGAGGAAGTCGAGACTAAGTCTAAACGTCCTGCGTTGAGTTGGTTGCCGCCCTCTTCAGACAAAGCTACGACTTCTGTCAGTGGTTTTGTCTTCCCCGACCTGAAAGCAGTTGCAAATCTCCCCATTTCTGAGAAAAGAGCCATTATCAAGCAAATTATCGAGCGGATTCCTACTTCTAGGGAGGAGTTGTTCGCCTACCCAATTGATTGGAAGGCAGTTGACGCGGTAGTGTATACATTGACTATTTGTTTTTTTAGTGACTGGTTGCTTGTTATTGTCTGGTATCCAGCTTTAAAGGTACTTTTTTGGGGGTTTACAGGAATTTGTGAAGGAGCGAATTAAGCCATGGGTGGATAAGAAAATAATTACCTATCTTGGCGAAGCGGAGGCTACTTTGTCCAATTTTATCTGCGAACAGGTTCTTGAACATAAGCCACCTGGAAAGATCCTCGCCGATGTTGCACTGGTACGAATTGGTTTCTTTTCCTCTATTTCAGTAATTCCGTCAAAGCGTTTGTGTTTTGTATTTATATTCATCAATTGGTACTCCACTCTACATTTGCAATTTGTAGGTTCTCGAAGAAGAGGCGGAAGTTTTTGTTGTCAAGATGTGGCGACTCCTCATTTATGTAATCGCAGAAAAGAATCTTGGTCTTACTGTATGATTTTTTTACGGTGCTGTTGATCTGACGTTTTGTACAAATAAAATCTCTCACCATTACTCTCTTGTATACGCTATTTCGTTTACACCTAACGCATTCGGTGTCAGCATGTTACTCTTTCGCTATGTTACTGCGTGAGCCGTCCGGTGCTAGGTCAACTGGCTCGATGTGCTCACGGTATCAAGCACAATTTAGCGGTTAGGCACTGTCTCATGGTCGCTTGAAATGGACTGTTTTCGTTTTAGCATTGGGGTGAGAGCGTATGCGAATTCGTCAAATTGCGCGGATGATGGGTTCGGTCTTTCGTTACGTAAGGGAGCGCTTTGATCGCCCAAGTTCTCCTGCATACAGTTTTCTTCCCGACAACATTGCTAGCAGACGCTTTGGGTTTAAGAAATTTGTCAATCAATTGTTGCTGTATCGTGGTTTGTTTGTCCAGCATGCGCCACCGCTCCTTTGTCTATTTTTAACCTGTCTAATCGCTTCTCTGCCCTTGAGTGCATGGAAGGAAAGCTGTGTATTCACTGTCATACTAATAACTCTTTTAGTTCTCGCTCTGGTGTACTTTATTGAGTCGTTTTTTACTTTCGCGCCAAACGTTCCCGGAGGCAGTCGTTTCTTTACAGAAATGCCCCAGTTTCCAGCATGGCGTATTGTTAAGCTCACCGTGCCTCCGACGGGAAGTGGTTGTAACGTCGTACTGAAGTGTTTTCTCATCTTACAAGAAGACCTGACAAAGCGAGCAGTAGCGCCAACCGTACTCTTCCTCCATGGGAATGCTGGAAACATTGGTCACCGTCTGCCGATTGCGAAGATGCTCTACGACGCATGCGGTGCTAACGTCTTTCTACTAGAATACCGCGGTTTTGGATATTCAACTGGACAACCAAACGAGTACGGTATGCACAGTGATGCGATGGCAGCGTTTGACTATTTAGCATCAGGAGCAGAAGGCGATGTGGATGGCAGAAACATCTTCATTTTTGGTCGTTCCCTTGGTGGCGCTGTCGCCATAGATCTAAGCACTCGACCCGGGGTAGCAATGCGTGCTCGCGGGACAATCCTTGAGAATACGTTCACTTCTATCGCAGGGATGAGCCAAACAATAAGCTGCAATGCGATTGGTCCTCTGGGGAAGTACTGTACGCCCACATTCCTAATCCATAATCGCTTTGAATCACTGAAAAAACTTAGGACGCGTAATGCAATCGGAGGTATGAAATTTCTCTTCATCTCTGGCACGAAAGACGAACTCGTGCCACCAACCATGATGATGCAGTTGGCTAGTGCATGGGCCGCGAGTTCGGGTCGTCAAGATTCTGAAACGTCGTGGATCTTTGACAATCCCCAAAAATTTCTGACCGGTGGAAGAGAAGGAATCGTGTGCTTCACTGAAGGAAACCACGGAACTACATGGGTGTGCGAAGGCTACAGTGACGTAGTTCGTCACTTTATTTCCCTGCACAGTACTTCTGGTGGCACAACCGACTGAAGGTCCTCCCGCTCACCAGCCTAATATATATGGTTCATCAAATGTCTGTTGTTCTGTTCTGACTTGGCTGAGGCGGGACATACTAGTGGCTAGTCGTAGACCCTACCAACGGGCACAAATAATCTCACAAAACCAAGCGCTAGATTGGACCCATTCGATGCCCGAGCGAACAATACAAGCACGCGCGCAACTTAAGGCTCTCCATCATGTTAGCAAGTTGAAATACCCAACCAAGTTAACAACCTATTCCAAGTAAGAGGACAAAAATTACCAAGACATGGAGATTTATTGGTTTGAATGCCAAGCACAGGGGCAAGTTGCGACATGGTATCCTTACGACCTGGAATAAAAAGAAATGGTTTAGCTGAAACGCTCAGATCAATAATAGACATCAAGATACAGACGGTAACTCCAATATCATCAAGGGAAAGGGAGGATTTCACTCCTACCTTCGCGAACAACACCATGAGAGGCGGCAATGGACGCACAACGGCGTGGATCATACAACTCACCGCAAGTGAAGCATTCTAACAAACAGGATATTAACAAAGTTTACCAATTGAGCCTGTGTGGCCTTATCACGCTTTCCCGAAGCATTTTACGATCAAAAATGTGATTACTACATAGATAAGATTATATTTCTCAAACAAAAAGTTTGTGCGCATTAAATAAACCCGAATTTTAGATCAGATATAACTTTAGCTTTATCTTGATTGTTAGTGAACATAACCATTTGTTCTGTTAGTTATAGAAGCAAAGCTTCATTTAGCAACGGCTTACAAATGGTATAACGTGTCAAGTCTTCCTAATGAAAGCACATATTAAAAGAAAATGAAGACAAATGGGGTTTCGCCTTGACCTTAATGCCAGCGAGATAAATGCCAAAACTTCTCTCTAATCACACAGTATCACGTTTCGATTTTTCTGGCATTTGTACTCTTCTGCAAGCCTTTGGACCATGCTCGGTGCTTGTCGCTTCGTTCTTTTCGGCTTACATGTATCCAGCCTCACTTACTGCCTCCTTCTACGTGGTGGGGAGCCCCGGGCCGCCACAATCCTAGTTAACTTTCTGGGCGATATCTTTGTGGTACCTTTTGAAAAAACTTCCCACCATCCATCGCCTCGCATTCGAAGCTGTAAATGAACCATGCATAAGTCTTTTGCATAATGCATAAGATTTTATGAATTCGAGGGGGATATCTCATAATCTCAGAAGCTCCCACTGAACACAGTAACATTCCGCCTAAAAGAAAGATTTGGTTGTTTATTTCACTAGTCCACTACAGATGTTCTGCATAAAAAGGAAATCAAATTAGTGTCATCATCAACATCTGTGCGCGAATATGAAAAAGAACCTCCGACATAAATTTGTTCCTGATTGTTCACGACGGTGTCACTTCACTTGTTACCAGCCTGTCTGTGGACACGATTGGCTTAAAATTCAAGCGACCCTCATTTGAGGAGAATTAACACTAATATGGTTGAGTTTAATGTGTCATTTGAAAAAAGAGTAAAACCCTTAGACAAATTTTATGGCGTGATTCGTTTGTTCTGACCTTGTCGTTGCGATGACTTGAGGCTGCAG